ACTGCCACGGATTCACTTGTAAGAGAGGTTGGTGTTAACAGGATCAAAAGCCCCTCGCTATATCCCGGTGGGTGCTTGAGACTTCCCTCAATCCCTCGTAAACAAAAAGATCTAAGGTTACCATTTTTACTCGATGGAAAGTGATATTGTGCAAATACGGTATATTTTTTAATAGACTGAGCAGAATTACCCTTCGTCCAAAATATGTAAAACATATATACTTATTGAAAATCATATATGTGAACTGCGGTTGAAGAAACGACTATGGAAGCGATCCTCGCAGTTATGAACACAACTTAAGTTGTAGTGAAAACATGGCCTGAAAAAAAATTTAGGCTTGTGCGTTTCAGACCTTATTATCACTACTACTACTACTACTACTACTCTTTAAGTAGTGTTCATAACTGCAAGGATCCTTTCCATATTCATATATAGTTATTGTTCATAGATGCATTGCTTTTGATTACTATCTTGCCTCCTCGTCAACATAAGGTTACTTAAACTGGAGTTACTATTATTATGATCATTGCTATTATTATTATTACCTCTTTTGATTCCAGATTACAATGAGTGCCAATATTTCGCTGACTCCTGTCCAGCAGGTGCGACTTGCGTGAATAGCTATGGTTCCTTCACTTGTTTATGCCCCACTGGATATACCTTCGAAGAGGGAGACTGTCTAGGTTGGTACTCTTTTCTGTATTGGTCGTTAAAACACTAGACTTCGCGTATTTCACTACCACTCTTTTGGGGTACTAAGTAGGGAAATGTTATGGGAGGGGAGTCTAAGTTTTCCATCCCCCGGATTGGTAAAATAAAGTAAAACTAAGGGCTTCTAATAGTTTTCAACACGAGTTCTTGCTGTAGCGGTTGGGATGAATAAAATCGGCATATTTTGAGTTATGGTAAATACTACTTCAAGCAGCATAAATACACTTGGAGAATATCTGGGTTGAAATGCCGATGCAAAATTAATAAATTTTATTTATGATACAAATTACCGTGTTATATGAGGATTTCCAGCGCTGAGAAAAGCTGTGACAACACAGGTGAAAAAATGTATTTTTTTTATGTGTGTTTGACATCGCCAATCATCTGCTGACACGTCACTCCCCCTTCGCGCCACTCGCCCAGATATAAGAGTGAAGACGGAGCCTTCACTATTCTCAATCTAAGGTCGTTTGCATTGTCGGAATTTTTTCAGATTATGGCTGCTAAAACACTGAAAAATCCGTATCGCTTACAGATAGTAACGTTCAAACTTTGCTAAAAGGGGAAAAAAACCAAAATATGGAAAGAAAAACCGAAAATTACGTATTCAGTCGCTTTGGTAATGGCATTTCTCGCGCCTAAGGACGAAAATCGACAATTGGAAGATTTGCCACAGGCCAGTTTTGGCCGTGTACCTGAAAGATTTCTTCTGTCGGTAAGGACCAATTCACTAAC